AAACCAAGATCGAGTTTGGAAATGGGCAATATCGGTCTACTCTTTCTGTAATAATTTACTGCACAGAAAGCGAAAGGATAATTGGATTTTGCCCCAATTTTTCAAATCGTAATATTTGCATCAGTAATAGGTCACGTGCAAATATGGACAATTTCGATCCACTCCATTAAGTACCTCCTCCGCAAAGAGTCAACATTTTGAGTATCCATGAAACTCATAAAAACGCGAAATTAACATCTGATTCCATTCAGACTTGACACATCTCAGTTTCCATCAACATAAGATTTTTTATAAAGATGGTAGAGATGTGACCATTTCTCCAGGTACCTCCCTCACATATGATTCAAGATTTTGAAAAGCAAAATGCTCAAAGAAAGCGAAACAAGCATACAACTAACTCTCTTCCAATTTCACATATCCAAATATTTTTGCTAACGCAAGATCTGTTGTGAGGATGATATATATCTTGGAATCCCTTCTGATATCTCACCCATAAAGGGTCACAATTTCCAATGCTTATATCTGCCATAACTTGCGAAACAATTCAGCTTTTCTTTACGACTTCCTATATCTAAATATGTCTCTCAACTAGAAACCTGTGGTGAATGAGGAATTTGATTTCGCAAAAAAATTGAATACACATATTCGGCCCAATTACGGTTGTCGTGAAAAATAGTATTACTGTAAGCAACATCGACAGTTTAAAATAAAAGTTGGCAACAACTTAAAAAAAACGTTGGCAATACTCCTTTTTTATTGAAAAAAAAGATAAAAATTAGTTTGTATTTTGAATTCTAATTTCGTCTCTTTCGGAAAAACTAAAATATATAGTGAAAAAATGAATATTATAAATGCTATATGCTAGGAACACAATTGGAGCGAACGACGAATTTTTTCGCGGCGTATGTTCGTCGTCAAAAATAAAACACATATGTGTATATGGAAGTGCACACAATCACGGCACCGGCGAAAATTTCGTCGGTCGCCGCGAACTCAATTAGCTTTATTTCTATTTCATACGCCGGCGACCGGCGAACAAAACAGTACAAGGTGGCCATACTTGTACGAATTTTATGTGTTTTAGTAAATAAAGTTACTTTTTACTTTAAAATTTGTTATGGTCACTCTACTATCTGTTACTCGTATAAAAAAAACATAATTAATTTGTTTATTTATTTGTGTACTTGCGCCTGAGTGAATATGGATATCAGTGAATTTATAATAGAGAAGATGGACATAAGTGAAATTATAATAGAGAACGTAAAGAATTATGTGTTCTTGTATAATTCATTGTAGTCAACAAATGAGCAAAAAGTAAACAACTTCATCAGCTGTTTTATAATTTCGTCGGTATTGTGTTCCATACGACGAATTTTCGCGGCTTATTTTGTCGCCGCGTAGGGCGAAATTCGTCGTTCGCTCCAATTGTGTTCCTAGCAATACTTATCCTAAGTTCAAGTGAGGATAAAGGGGAGAATGTATTGGTAGTGCAGCGGTGAGTGTTATGGGAGCAAACAAACGTATTTGCATTGCCTGACTCTCGATTGTGTTGTTCCAAAAGTTTATACTGCTTTTTCAAGAATTCAATAGTTTCTACTTTCCTTGATGACTTTTTACCATTGTTTTTTCTGGGCGATCAAGAAGCTTCAATAATAGTTACATCATTTTTATAAACTACATTTTTATAAACTATAACGTCTGTTACACTTATGTTTTCCGTATTTTCTATTCCAAGTGCACGACCTGGTGGAATCAGCAACTTTTAAAACTGCATTACATTCGCGACAGACTCCTCCCAAAGCGACAAAGTCATTTGCTTAAAAATGCCACCTCCAGTGCTGCTGGTATTTGCCCTTATTCTGCACTTTTTTTTTTTTTTTTGGTTTTAAATTTTAAATCTTTCAAAACTTAGAAGAATTTTAAAAAACTAGCTTATAAAAACATACAAAAATAATTTCAATTTTAACATACTTTTTGCCAGTCTCTAATCGGAGACCCGTTTGCATTTAATTTTGTAGCAATGGATTCCAATCTGATTTAAAATTAGCTGGAAAATGACCATTGGTAAACCCTTTTGCCAAACATGGGTTTTTTTTCCAAGTCGTGGTCAAATATCAAATACAAAAAAGTTACAATATCAACGTCCACTAAAAATACAATGTCGTCACAATTTTTTACGGCGACATATTTTCTTAAAAATCGACTTAACGTCGGCTATTGTATTGACAATTATAATAGAAATAATTTGTCGCTATCGACAAAAAACGACAACCCTAATATCATTATTGTCGCCTCGACTTCATTTTGCGACAACGACGACAACCGTAATAGGGCCGATTAGTTTTTCTTGTAATTTTGCCCATACCAATAGTTTTATCAGTATAGATTAAGTGTTAAAATGAAATACTTCAGTCCGCTGTATCTGTTACTTCACGCATATTTACAAAAAAAAATGTGCACATATCACATATTCACCCTTATTATGGTTGGCGTTGTCGTAGACGTAGTCGCATGGTACAATGAAGAGAAGGTGGGTCAACTTTGAAAAAATTGCAAGTATAGAGGTCTACCTGTTTGGCTTGTAATGTCAGAATTACTATCAAAACAATAAAAAAGCAAACAACTTGTTGCATTGATTTTGAATAAATAATTTAAAACCGCGAAAACTGAATGAATGGTCAAAATTTCTTTTCAATATCATGTTCTATATATCTTTTATGGTTTATTTCGCGACAAAAACTGTAAATTTTGTCGATGTATTCGTTGCAATAAACATTTTGAAAACACCCGAATTTGAATATTTTCTGAACATTTTTTTTATTATTGAAAAGAAAACACACACATAAGCAAATGAAGTTGACATATTAAGCCAGAAAAATAAAAAAATTTAAATCATATGGTAGTTCTGCCCTACCTTGAATTCATTGTACCATGCGTAGTCGTAGGCGTTGTCGTAACTAGAAATTTTTGGTATTATGTACAATTTTCGACTACGTCTTCTTTTTATAATAGGTATGAAAAAGCAGGATGCTCTGGAATAATAAACATTTTTTGAATTTACGAGCTACCCGGTTAAAAGAAATAAAAGCGTCAGTTGAAATGGTTGAAGTAAAACGATTATTTGTTTAATTAAATATTGAAATATGTTAAGTCCTGGACATTTTTTAGCTGAGGATGAAGATAAGTGTATTCAAAATGATTTAAACGTGAGGCGAAAATAATGCGGGTTATTTGTGCTTACAGATGTAAGCGTACAGACATCCGGGATGACCACAACCTGCTTCTTTTGCATATTTCGGTGTAGTCTATTTACCCTTGGAGGAGTCAGTGTGCAGGGGATGTGGTGTTCTTTGTCTTCACTAATTTCAAACCCTTCAAACAGTTCCTCCTCAGTCTCCAGTTCACCAATTGTTGGACGCTGTTGAATTCCAGTTGCTTGGTTCCCTGCATTTACAATTGTCTCTAATTGTAACAAGCGTGATGTTGCTTCCTCCGTGTCGCTTAAAATGAACTGTTTGAAGGGCCCTCCACCGATAGCACGACATTCTGTCTTGTTATGAACTAGCTACTTCCTCAATTTGAATTTGTAGTCTTTCTTTCATCCAGGCCTCGCTTGTTCGAACCGGCGGTCCTAGGATATTGAGTTTCGCACTAATTTTGTTCCATTTTTTCCTTGATGTTAATTTTTTTTGAAGCCATTTTAACCTCTAGCCAAATGTGGATTTATTTTCAAGATCTGGATAATTTCGTCAAATTGGTTCTTCGTTGTGACTTTAAATCTATAAATATGGAAATGTTAATATATGTACATACATATATTTTGTAATGTTGATATATACTTCTTATTCAAATCCGTTTTGTATATTATTCCTTTGTAATGTCAATTTGTAAAAACTTTTTTGTGTTGTCGGCAACAAAATCTCTAACGACTAATTTTGCAGTGTTTGTCGAATTAGAACGCGTCTTGTGGTACGAAAATTGTAACAGAATTTCACACAGAGTTGTAATTTCTCGCATACGACACACATAATACTAATTAGTCGTTACGACGCGTCTACTTAGTGATAAGGGTGATTAAGTACAGGAAGTAGTCGATATAGTCCTAATCTAGTACGTTTGTAATATTCATATCAGTCTTAGTTCTGATACGAATTGGTCAATATTGGCCAACTGCTTTGGAAAGATCGACAGTTGCCAAAATTGCTATTGTGTCAAGGCGAAATACTTTTTTTTCGCTGTGATTTACAAGTTTTTTTTGGCAATTAACTTATCTGAAAAAAAAAAAAAAAATATGAAACATGTAAATTGGTATGTACGGTAGCGTTTCCAGTAGAAATTACTCAGTAACATGCACTTGAAAAATTTTGTCTCGCGCATGCAAATTTTGCATAAAGTTATCGACTAACTTTTAATAAAATCTAGCAAGAAACCTGCCGTTGTGCAAAATGTATTCGTTACATTTTTTTTAATTCTTGTGAACATCAACTCAAGATGAATCCAAAATTAGTCCTTTAATGGTACAATACAATGTTGAATGTTTATTATCGGAAAAATAATGAAAATAAATAAATTGTTGCATGAAATGTATAAACATTTTTGCACCGGTCACAAAACTGCTGCTTTTCAATCAGATGATGTGACTGGGTAATATTTATTGAGTACATGTTTCTCCGTAACTGTCAAAATTGCTCTCTTTTCTCGCTCTCACTTATTGGATTTTTGGGTTGGCGGAAAAGCATTTTGTAATATTTTGTCCAAACATTATGTTATCGTACACACCTAATATTGTCATACATGTCAACATTTATGTTGTACAACAAATCACACAACCACTGAATCACTAACACAGAGTTGATTTTCCACACAAATTGGCAGCATTTGTTTATTTCCATTTTAAACTCTTTCCACTTATTGTGGCTCTGCTTTCAACCCACTTCTGTGATTGGCAGCACTTTTTCTGATTCCGTTTTCAAATCTCTTCCGATTATTCGAACAAATCTGAGTCAGTAATCAGTTGGCTCGCGATGTTGGAAAAGAAAAAGTCGGGCGTGGAAGTAGACATAAAATAGTTTTGAAACTTCTGTTCGATATCCCACTGAGTTTGAAATAAAAAGAATCTGTGAGCAAAAGAAAAGAATACAATATTTTCCTAATTCAGCAAAAATTATTTGCAATGAGAAAATGATTGAAAATATGTTTTGATATTCAAAGAAAACGACAAAGGAAAAGGTTTTAAATTGCTGTGTGTTTGTGGTGTGACGTGACGGGACGGGAAAAAATAGAGAGAAAAAATCTCGGAATGGAGCTGCTGCCGACTGCTGCTGCTGCCTGAGAAGAATCTGGTTGGGTTTTTCTATTTCTTGTTTTCTTACTGTCTATCCTCTATGTGTGCTCTGTTCTTTGGCAATTTTCAGTTATCTATCAATCGGTGGAAGAAAAACGCAGCAACGGCCGTATATTTGAGTTTGAGTGTGTGTGTGCGTGTAAAGAATAAAGAAATACTGCAAAAAGGGCCGGTTATAAAGAAATGATGAAGTGAATCATAAACATCGAGGAGATTGGAAAATATTTTTCCAATGTGAATTTGTTGCAAAGGAAAATTTGGAGTTATATTTTTGTAAAAAGTGAGAGAGATGTGTGAAAATAAAAGAAAAACTGGAAAAGTGATAAAGAAGTGTAACCAAAGAGCAGGGCAGCAAAGAGCAGAAGTTGGAGAAATAGAAAAAGTGCAAATGCAATTCTTTTCCAGCGGTGACGACAGCAGCCAGCAGTGGCTCTGTGAGCCGAGCGAGTAGTGTATATCCATCCACCTTCCTGTTGTCGTTTTGTGTTTTCTCTCTTCTTCCTGTTCTGCCTAATTCTTCTATAAACAAGTTTTATCCTATTATTTTTATATTTCTGGGTTCTTTTGTTTCCGCCTCCGCTGCTGCCGTCGCCGCCACCCGCTGTCGTCACACAGTTGTGAAAGTGTTTGTTTTATTTCTTCCGTCTCGTGTCGCCCCCACCGTTCTCGCTCTCTTCCACATTGTGTGCGTATGTATGTGTGTAAAGAATGTACTTATGAATAACGACGACGACGACGTCCGTCAACGGGAACAACAACTCCAACAAATATACATATAATAATAATCGAGGAGAAATAAAAAAATAATATTTAACGACAAATTGTGTTCTCTTCTCTGTTTGGTGTGTGTGCGTGTGTGTATGGTGGAGTTCTTCACAGTGCTAAAAACCAAAACGAAACAACACCTATAGAAGACAAGAAGAAGAAGAAGACAAAAATAACGAAAACAACAACTTAAAGATATTTCTTTTAAAGTTATTTTCTCTTATTTGTGTTGCAAAAAAAGGAAAAATAATACAACAAGAAAAACAGCAACAGCGACAGAGGAAAGGAAAACAAAATCAACAAAAATAGCAAATCAAAATGGCGCACCAACAACTCGCCTCCGTGAATTGTCCATTGGACGATATCGATTTAGCTGCTCTAAGGGTAAATACAATGGAGTTTTTTTTATTTGTTTTAAAAGCAAATTATTTATTTATAAAAATTTATGTAAACTTTTGCAAGTGTTGCCAATTGGTGAGACCGACCAGTTGGTGTCTGGGCTCCATCCGAGCCGTAGAGACATTTTTGCCCACTTGTGTGTAGTAGTATCTCTTAGCCATATCCAGTCAGACAGCCATCCAGCCAACTTGCCAGTCAGTCACTCAGTCATTCATTGAAATTTCCTTTGTTAGTAGATTTGCTGATTTTTTTTGTTTAATTCAGAGTTTTTTTTGTGTGTTCGACTCTTTCTTGTTGGTGTTCTGTGTTGCTCTCATGTGTTCGCGTGTGTGTGAGTGTGGCTGTGTGTGTGTGTTTGCTTCATTCTGTCTCATTATTTTGTGTTTTATTTTCTTTTTTCGTACTTCACAAAAGATGATGTTGGATGTTGGGGTTCTACGCCCTCTTCTGCTTTGTATTTTAAAGGGTGTAGAGTTGCCAAGTAGCTGGATTCTCAGAATCAACATATTAATTGGGGGATTCAACTTGAACATGCTTCGAATGTTTAATTATAATAATGTGAATAAAGCGTGATTTTTAAAGGTCCATATAATTTGATGCTTGAGGGTTTTTTTCATGCAAATGTCGACCGCGACTGCCCACGATCTAGGTGGCTAATTGACTGGCGCCGAACGTGAAATAAAATGTTCACCGAACACGCCTCGCAATAAGTCCACTGTGGCCCGATATTCTTCAAACAACAGGCGTAACTCTAGCTTAGGTATCTTTATCCTGGTCCCTTTAAACTATTTTTTTCGGGTTCAAGACCCGGACTATACCCGCATCTTCTTACCCGATATAGGCAATATAGATAACCTTGGAAAGCTTATGAAAATGCCTATCCAACAAAATACCGACCCGGATGTTATTTTTAATTGCTGACACTTTTACCTCTCCAAAATGCTACAATTTGTGCTAATACCCTTCCAAAAAATCGATAATTTGACTATAATTTTCTATAACTTCTAAACTAGAGTTGTTTCAAAACTCTTCTATTTTTTCAAAATTTCTTCCAGATGTAGTTTTTTTACCCTGATCCCGGGAAACTATTTTTTTTTTCTTGAGGGACGGAACCGGGACCTCACATTTTTGAAAGTCCGGGTTCAAGAACTCGGGCTGGACCCGGATCCACTTACCCGATATAGACAATATAAGTATCGTTTGAAAGCTTATGAAAATACCTATCCAGCCACCTTTTCTTGATTCAGAGAAGTTCTCTTCTGGGTACGTTCAACCGACTACGCGAACTAAAGTTTTTTTTCGGCCGGAGCTTGTAATTTTCTCCTCTGGATATGTCCCATACCGGCTAACGCGAACCAATGTTTTCTAAATTGGATACTTTTTGAAAGTAGCAGGCCTCCGGCCTGGGCTTGAGATTTTCTCCTTTGGGTATGTCCTTCACTGGCTGACGCGAACCAAAGTTTTCTAAATTTGATACTTTTGTAATTCCAACCCCGGCTACGCGAAATAAACCTATTTTTATTGAAAACATAATTTTAGTGAAGTGGTGAGAATCGGGTTATGCGGGTGGAAAGACCCATATCTCGAACCCAGAATAGGTATTATCACAAATTTGATTGGATTTTGGAAAGGTAAGAGTGTCAGCAATAATTTGGCGTCAATTTGGTTGATCCCCATAATGGGCCCATTTCCGACACCATGGGTTTTTTAAAAAAAATCCTTGTCCAAAAAATCAATAATTTGACTATAACTTCCGAATCGCTTAAAAATTACCCCATCATGTGACCACTTGTTTGATAGATATTTTCATTTCGAACGATATCTATATTGTCTATATCGGGTAAGTGGGTCCGGATCCTGAACCCGGACTTTCGGGTCAAAAATCTGGGGTACCGGCTCCGACTTCCGAGAAAAAAATTGTTTCCCGGGATCAGGGTAAATATTATACCTCAGGCTAGAGAGGGTAAATATAATTTGATACGGCCAAAACGTGTCTTATCGAAATATAGGTTTTAGACCCTAGGTCTCTAGACCTACACCTTTTCAGAACATTTGGAGGGTATACATCTGTCGGCAAAACGGACTGATACTTTTTAACTTGTTTCTATGGAATTGTGTGCAATTCGATATTAAGAGTTTGTAGCGTAATTTTTCGTAATTTTAGCGGTATTTTTTTAATTCACGTTTTCTAACAATTTTGTTATTTGTAGATCTAATGGGTCCTACCCTGATCTTGACGATGTGGGTCACATTCACTGACGGACTTTGATATACCTATATTTGATCATTCTAGCCACATTTTTTCACGAAAGCTTTTTGCATTTTGGTATTTAAGACTACTTATGGTTGAAAATTGTTCACGTTTTGGTATTGTGTCCATGTTACGATTCCACCCGCATCTTGTTATTTTGAACACTTTAACTACATTCTTTAGCTGAACTGGAGTACCGCCAGCCATATGGCTACAGAGGGTATATATTATTTGGTTTTGGTTCAGACTCGATACATCGTAATACTATTATCGAGTTCGGAGGTGTACAATATAGTTCTACTAATTCTAGCACATTTTTTGAATAATTATACCGTTCATAAAATGCAAAATAAGAAAATTAGCAAACTCAAGATCTGGTGGGAAGATAGGAAATATAGAACCACTCCTTCCGATCCCTCCCCCACAAGGCGTCAAAATTTTAAGTAGTTACAAATTTAAAAAATTTGAAATAAATATTCGCTGTTTTTTTTTTTTCTAAATTCACAATTGTTTCACCTACATTTCATCTAGTTCCGAATATATTGGACCATTCTTTTTGGTACCTTCCCCACAAAGGGTCAATATTTTTAATAATTCGCATAATATGCGAAACAAGTCAGCGATTTTCTTCAAACTTAGTATATCTCAATATTTCTACCAACCATAGATGTAATATAAAAATCGTCTGGTACTACGACTCAAAATATAAAAATGTTGAACTTTGAAAAACCTCCACCATTTGGTACGAATTTAACAATTTTCAAAAAAATAAAATCCGTTAAAAATTCTGTTAAAATCTGAAAAATACCTAATGTACCCGTATATTAGAGTCTATACGACGACGTGGACCTGCATAGGCAACTTTTGTCACTAACTATTACAATATTCAAATGCGAAACTTGAAAAAATCTGTTTATAAAGTAGCTAAAATCATCAAAATACCGAATATAGGGGGGTACCATGGTGGTTATAAAGCGTGGATCTGCACAGACAATTTTCTGTCATAGGCTGTAGTATCCACTACGAACTTCAAATACAAAATTTGAAATAATTTCGGTACATAATGTCGCTAAAATCTTGAAAATACTGAATATCGGGGGGTACCGTTATATAGGGGCTATACGAAGACGTGGACCTACATGGCCCATTTTCAATACCAAATGTCCTATGTACTGCAGTACACATTTGAGTAAAATTTTATAAACCTACTTCATTTCGTTCGGAAGCTAGAGTGATTTCCACAGACGGACGGACATTGATAAATCGACATAGAATTCTATGCTGATCAAGAGTATATATACTTTGTGGGGTCTAAAATGTATATTTCGAGGTGTTACAAACGGAATGACAATCTTAATATACCCTCCATACTATGGTGGAGGGTATAAAAAAATATTTTAAATTAAGTGTAGGAAATTATGTTGTATAGAAACGTTTATTTAAGCTTTAGGTCAGATGCAAAATAGACCTGCCTCCAAATTTTCGATATTCAGATGATTTTGATTCTTAAAATTTCTGATCTATAAGCACATTGACTATAAAAGTCCAAATTTTCGTATAGCTGACATACAACGGTACTTCCCGATATTCGATATTTTCATGATTTCTTCCACATTTTTCAAAGAATTGTTTCAAATGTTAAATTTGGAGTTAATGTTAAGTTTGGAGTTAAATTTGGAGTTCATGGAGTTACAGGTCCAAGTCGTTTTTGTATAGCCCAAATTCCAGAGGTACAATTTTCTATCTTCAAAAATAATAGGTTCCTATTTTGACCCTACTCTTATTCTAAATCCAGTCTTAAAGATCGCACCGTAATTACGACCTCTATAATGATTACAATTTAACATGGACAGAGGGACGGACGCACAAAGCTAGATCGACTTTCTCGCCGAGATATGATAATAGGTATACTACATACTGGGTCTATAACCGCTATTTCTAGGTGTTACACACTTTTTGACCCATTTAACCTAATTTCGATTCCATTCAAGTTTTATCTATTTAATATTTTCTACGGATAGAAAAAAAAAACTCCTGAAAATATCCTTCATATAGAAGTTTTTTTAATAGTTAGAAGGCTACAAATCTAATATCCCCTTGAATAAATTCCATAGATAGAATACATAGGCTAGAATCTTGAATTTGTCAAATGTTTTGTTTGTGCCTTATCTTGCCACAGGATAAGGCACAAACAGCTTCAATAAATGGGTACCAAAAACCATTTTCATCGTTAAGTTGCGGTTTGAAATTAAATCGAAAAGGAAATTTGACATTGTAAAGATTGGAATCGTTGATGTGTACATTATGTGGAGGGAACAAAATAAATTATAATTTAATTAATTTTCCCGGCATGAAGGAAAGTACTTTCGACAGACAGACAGGCCGACACACGCATATTTTCTTTCTTTCTCTCATTGAAACACTTGGAAAAAAGGGAGAGTCCGGAAGAAGTGTGTGTATGTGTGTGAGGGAGAGAGAGAGAGAGGATAACAATTACCATCAACAACAAATTCACTTTCAATCGCAACTGTCGTAATTCGGTTTGCTGCTGTTGTTGTTGTTGTCGGTTTGTCGTTTGGTGACGTCGAAAAATTTAATGTTTGCTCTCTGTCTGTCGGGTTGGACGACAACAACGGCAAATGATGTTTGTTATAGATTTTTTTATTGTTCGTGCCTAGAAGGGTTGTCATTGTGGACAAAAAAGAAGTCAGAAATAAATGGAAGTGTACGATTT